CATAGAGATTTTCCTTGGATCAGCGTATGTCTATCAGGCGAAGATGTTAAAGCACTTTGCTTCCAATGGAAAGTGTTTTGTTTTTGATCTGTAGGTTAATTCTGTTCTTGCCATTGGATGTACTTTGAGTCAGTGTCACCAGACTGACTCTCCACGAATCACAGTAACAGTATTTGCAGAGTCTGGCCGAGCTACACAATCCATTGTGTATCATGCATGTGATTCGGCCTGATCCAGTCATTCCAAACATCTTAAACCTTTCCAGGAGGGGCATTCCTAGACCAGGAGTCAGTGAAACTTGGTATTCATGTCGTGCGGAACCTCACTCAGCTGTTTTCATGACTGTTTTCATGATAGTTAGAGGGTACAGTTATCTGTCACCTGTAGCTGTAGTTTTTTTATACGGAGACTTTTTTGGTCGTGGAATGGGCCATGTACCTCCAGTCCCTGGACTGAAGTGGTAATTAAGTTGTGATATTAGTGAAAATCATAAATTCCTATAACCAGATTAACCTGTTTTCTCACTTGTCTGTTTTCTCTCCTGTTTTAGCTTAAAGTATCAGTGGGTGAGAAGAGCTTTTCGGACCTGTTACTGCCCCAGGCTGTGTAATATACTTGTATAACAGAAATACCTTCTATACAAACCTTTTTTTCTACTTTTAGATAGAAATGTCTACTTTTTCAGCAGTTCTGTGAATTGAATTAAAGAGCAGAGTGACTGTAGATTTGGAATGGCTGGTTTCCTTGGGAATGTATTATAAGGATTTTACAGCAGTGCTGGAAAAACGACAGGGAAAATGACAGGGGTGGAGCTCATCAGATTCTTTACGTATTCAGCAGAGCCTTCAGCGATGGTGTTTGTTTTCCAATCAAGTGAAGATATCTCCTACTGGAACATCTCAGCTTCGGCAGTGAAGAAAACCCCTGTGATATAGTTCAGCTCTTTAGTTTTTTTATTGGAGAAAATCATTTAAATGATCCTTTTGTTCACGGCTCTCCTTAATGACTGAGTGAACAGTTAGTATCTGTATATTTGACTAAACCTTTTCCTAAGCTCTCTATCATGGTTCATATGTTTTTTATCATCATTAAAACCATCAGGATCAGCTAACAGCCAAGTAAGAGGTCGGTAATCTCAGCGTGTGGCTTATAGATGGAATACAGAGAACCTCTTCCATCCACATTTACTTTTCATCCAAATAAAATGCATGGCGTACCCGAAGTTTGAGGTCAGGGATGAGTGTTGGGGCGAGCCTCACTGCCGTGTGCCCAGTCGTGGCGTGGAATTCCTTGGAACACTGCCCCAGCTCGGCTCAGAACTCGGGGGGGCAGGGGGCGTTTCGTTGCCTTCATTACTCTGCGGTTGAACCAGTGACACTGAGGCCCCAGTGTGGGTGGTGAGGGGTCAGTCAGCTGACCAGGCACCCTCTGACATTTTGCGCCATTTGTAGGAGAATCTTACATGTGTTGAGATTTCACCAACAGTAAGAGATGTAAAATACCAGCTATACGAAAAGCTAGAGTATGTGATGGCATAGAGTTTTCATTAGCTTTATCACAATATTCACAATGGAGAATTATATTACATGGTAGCAGAAATAGGCATTTTTATGTGTTGCTTATATTTTACCTCAAATTAAATTGTAGATATAGGGTAATAAATAAAATCCATCCATGCCTTTCACACACTAGCTCATTTCTTTCTAAAGTGTTTTCGTGACTGTTGGGAAACCTGGGGTGGCTCGGCGGCAGGCGGATTGTGAGGTGAGGTCAGGTCGCCGCTGTCCAGAGGCTCCGTGCCTCGTTAGGACACCCGTGCCGAGGGTGACTCTGAGACCACTGTGCCTCTGGCCTGAGCTGGGGCTGGAGCCCCCACCTTTTTGTCCGTGACCTGCCAACTGCATGTGATATTTGAGGTCAGTCTCTCCCAGGATGGTGTCCGTGCATGAGCCCCTCCCACGTAAAACACTGTCTCCAGGTCTTTTCTATTCTCTCCGCATCGCCTTCTGCCTCTCCGTGACCCTTCCCAGTGTGACCTCAGGGAAAGCCAAACCAATTTGTTGATAAAGGTAGCAGCCGACCACCCCGAGGAGACAGCTGCTCCAGTAGAGCCTTGGGGTTCCTCTCAGGTCTTCTTGCCCTGAGAAGGTGTGCCCCATCTCGCTGCCGCCACCACACTTCCCATCCTAGTCACTGGGGATTCATGGTCATCCAGAGGCTGCTTTTTAAAAGGAGTTACGCTTGTACACATAGCCCTTTAACAGAAGTTTTGTGGGAGCACAGACTTGGAAGGAGATGTACTTTCCTACTCAGTATAAGTATATATATATCTCCAATATGAAAATTCTGTATCTATGCATACACATATGTTTGGGGATTTTTTAAGTTTCTTATAGCTAAAAATGAGCACATGAGTCTCTGCATTGTAGACCACAGCTCAGAATCAGTGTGGCATCCTCCTCCTTCTAACTTAGGTATAAAGATGCGGTCCGGTCCCATCCTACCTCTGAACAGCTTACAGGTTGCTTTAAGAAATGCTGAATCTCAGTTGAAGCTGTGTCTATGAGCAGAAGAGTGTGGAGGTGGAAGAAGTCGTTTTATTAACTCACTGTGTCTCCCAGAGGTTTTCACACACCCCTGTTCACTCTGCTTACCCACAGTCAGGGGGGCTCTCAGTACAGCCTCTCCTGGCAAGGTGACTGCCTTAGCAAATTGCCTCCTTACAGTGGTCAGATGAGCCCTAGTTTCAGCACCACAGGTTTGTTTAAAAATGGCTGGGGTCACCCTGGCTTGCTCATGTGGAGCCCAGGAACCATCTTAAGGAGCAAGCCTTCTGCCACATGTGTTAGCAAATAGGTTTTGCCTTCATAAATGAGACAGTTGACAAAGCATGATTCTTCAGAGGGCAAGGGGTGTAAAACTCGCCCCATCAAGGTCTTTCCTGGAGGACCAGACGGAAACACAAGCTACAGGTCACATAGGTCCTATCAGTAATTCTAATGCACCCTGTGTTTCCAAAACGATGTGATGGCTGATGGTTCAACATTATTTTATTAGGAAATATAGCAGAATGACCAGGGACATAGGCTTTGTGACCAGCTCCAAGCCATGCTTCTGGAAAGCTGTGATCTTGAGTAAGTTTCCAACAGTAAAACCAAGGAAGCGTGTGCCATTGTAGGATTGTTACCAGTTAGACCCTGATGGTGAAATTGGGCCAACTGCTTACAGCCTCTTGCCCGGCTCTGGGCCTCAGGTGGCAGGGAGAGCCGTGCTCTGTTTCTGGGTCATCTTCTGCCCTGGGGCGGGCGGCAGGGCTGCTGCAGCAGGGGCCGCTGGCACCTCCGAGAGAAACCTTCACATTTACCCACCTACCGCCACTCAGACTGTGCAGTGCATGTAAGCTTACCCTGTTGAGCAGTTAGCACATCCCAAGAGATGTTTGATCTTTTCATTGGTCTAAATCGTCTATGATAGCTGAAGTGCATTCATATCATGTGCCCAGGTCACCTTGGGACTTGAGAGAAGAGGGAGACCAAGAATCCGGCCGTGGCCCACAGTCTTCCCTCTGAGACCACAGCGTGGACTGGGCTTGGGTCTGCAGTGCCCAGTGTTCCCAGGACAGGGCTGTCTACTATAGCAGGCCGCCAGTCCTGTTTGCAAGTAGGTCATCTCTCTGAGCATCCTTCCAGCAACATTTCTGCCGTTGTTTTTTTTTTTTTTTTCCTCCCCACCAGGGACCAAAAAGGTCCATTGGAGAGGAAGATTGAGAGACCAGCCCCTTACAGTGTCCAGACCCCAAGCCCCACCCGAATAAGCTCAAGCTGCTGGTGGGTTTAGCCATTAGTGACCCGTGATTGTCACACAGCACAGCGCTCCTCTGGACACCTTCCCTCTTAAGTGGAAGAAGCCACATGTATGTATTTTGAAAGGTGTGGTGTTCTCCACGGATGCCTCAGTTTCACTGTGATAGGGACGAGGGGAAAGGATGGCGGGAACTGAGGCGACCTCTGGCCCCTTGTTCTGCTCGGGTCCCCATTCTGCTCAGCCCTGAGTCCAGTAGGATGAGCACAGATAGGGCTGTGCAGGTTTCTGGCTAGACGCCCCCATAGAATTGCTCTCCAGCCCCTGTGGTTTGGGTTCTGTTTTAGTCCCACGTGTACTGAGGGGCGGTTAACTTCTCATGACTGCCAGCTTTGGCTGAAAGGGCAGATAGTGAAAGCAGGCTGTTGAAGTCCCAAGTCCCTCAGGTTATGGGGGCCGGTTGACAAATCAGTGGGTAAAGCTGGCTGCTGCAGCTCCCGGGCTTCAAATCCCTGTGAACTGAATGAAAAACAGCCAAGTTGCTTGTCTTCCCAGCTCCCCAGCTCTGATCAACAAAGGTTTTGCGTGTCAGCTCCCTCCTGCCCCATCCCACCCTTCAACCCCCCTTGCCTTGTGGTTTTATTTTGAGGAAGTTGTCAGGAAAAGTAGCACTGAAAACATGCTGTGATACAACACCCATGTGTAACAGTGTTTCCTGCCCAAGTTTCTCAAGCCAGGATAGGTGGGTCCCGGTGGGCCTTCTGTAGCACTGAGTTCCCGCGTGACCTCGGGATGCCTGTTGATGCCCATCGTTGCTCACCTGGAAAGCGACTGTGATCCTTACCAAGGACCATGTGCTGGTCAGGGCCTGGGGGGACCGAGTGAGAACTGTCCCCACTCAACCCAACCAGAGGCAGCAAGAGAGACAGCCACCTCCAAGGCTCTAGGGAGATTTTAGATAAATCCCCAAAGAATCTGTAGATTTGCATCATCTGTAATTGAGACAAACTCTTCTCTCTTTTATAACGGCCAATCTTGATCCTCAAGGAAAAATCCTTAAGACGGCAGGTGCAGGTTTGCAGAAAGGCTGGGTCAGAGTAGGCACCCACCCCATGGCGTAGGGTCAAGAAGCCACAGCGTCGGCCTTCAAGAGAGGAGCTCTCAGTTGGGGGAAGTGGCTTCGTTGGCCCCGGTGCCTGATGCAAGCCGGGCCGCCACCAGACACACATAAGCAGACCCGCTGTCCACAGGTGCCCAGCGCCTGTCTGTCCTGTGCCCCCTCGGACAGGGCGGAGGTGCTGAGTCCATGGCCAAGTCCCGGACTGAGCATGCTGCCGGCTGCCTTCGCACAGTCTCTGGGCAGGGTGGGGGAGACAATGGCAACCCAGCTGTGATGACTGGATTTAGGAGGTGGGATTTTTCTCATTACTGGAATTAGCTACACGTTCAGAAGACCTCACCGCAAAACCCCCTGTGGCAGTACCACGCGCTGGATTTAGCCTTGATGGTTGATGAGCTTCAAATGACTTTGGCCACATGATGCATCTGGCCCCAGTGAGGAAGTGGGGCAGGAGGCTGGGCGCAGGCAGGCCCCAGGGCTCCCGGCTCGAGCGGGACCAGATGGTAGTGAAGCGAGTGAAAGTCGCTCTGTCGTGTCTGGCTCCTTGTGACCCCATAGACTGCACCCCGCCAAGCTCCTCCGTCCATGGAATTCTCCAACCCGGAATTCTGGCCATGGGTAAGCTGTTCCCTCCTCCAGGGGATCTTCCCAACCCAGGGATCGAACCCAGGTCTCCTGCATTGCAGGCGGATTCTTTACCATCTGAGCCACCAGGGAAAGACCTGGCTTTGGAATGGGACCAGATGGTAGAGTCCCTTTGATTTTGGCTAAGCACCCACTTGGTGTCAGGATGTCCGCCAGATGCTACAGTGCAGAAGGGACAGCCCCGGCCCCACCCCTAGGACTCAGGCTCCTGTCTACCATCCTCCCCAACCTGGCCTGGGAAAGCCCCCCTGGCTTTCCTACCCCCACGGCCTGGGCACAGCCAAGGCTGAGCTCTCCCAGGGCTAGTCCGGGGGCTGCCCCACACACAGCCACCCAGCTCACCAGCGACAGCCCCAGCGGAGAACACAGGCCTGCCCTGGGTCTGAGCCCCACACCGTTTGCCCCAGCAGCCAGCGGTGCCAGCTCTCATACACCTGACATCTCCCTCATTCCAGGCCCAGCTTAAACAGCGAGAAACTGCCTTGGACTTCCCCAAACACTCCTAATACAGTCCTTGGAATAGGTACCGTTGCTAATGTCCTTTTACAGATGAAAAAAAACCGAGGCTTGGAACTTGCCAAGGGCACCCAGCCCGGTGTGAGCAGGTCCGTGTGGGCCGGGCTCCAGGCCACTGTGCCCAGAGCCGGCATTTGGTGTGTGCATGGCCTCCTGCAGACCAAAGGCTCAGGCTGACTCTTGGGGTGTCCGGGCGCTCGCTCCTGTGTCCCTAGGCCAAGGACCCGGCCGCCATGTCATCAGGCCCAGGGGAGAAGGAATTCGCAGGATGTGTGGCCCAGCTGTGTCCTAGCTCCACTCCTGAGTACAGGCTCCTGTTTCTCTTCTGATGAGGCGGCAAGGCCCACCCCAGCCCAGCCAGAGCCCGTCCCTGGTCTGATCTGCTGAGAAAGGAATACTCGGGGTCCCCTGGGAACGGGTGGCTAGTGGCGTGCATTTCCACACTGAGGCACCTGCTTGCCCTTCAAAGCCTCTGCCCCACACAGCCAGGCTCACGGCCAAGGAAGCCCTCAACCAGTGGCTCAGGGACCCCTCCTGCACCTCCCAGCGGTGGGCGAGACCCGGGCCCGTGGGCTGACCCAGGGGGCCTTTGTCACAGGCCTGGCTGGAGGCTTACCTTAGCCTCTGAGAAAGAACCGTCACGTGGTGAAGGCTGCTGTGTTCACGTCTTGGGAAGCCCGACAGAGGACCCCAGAGGGCACTGCCTGGGCCTTGGGCGCTCAGGCTAAACCTGTCTCCGCACAGCCCGTCCCCGTGGCCCAGCCTTGGTAGGGGACTGCCCAGCCCCATCCATCCTGGGAAGGCGGCATCTGGAGCAAGGCCAAGGTCTTTGGGCCAGGCCGGGAAGCCCTGCCTCCCCTCCCGGCAGGCCTGTCGTGAGCACCTCCCTCTTCAGGCAGGTCGAAGTCTGGCTCCTCCCTCGTGAACCCCCCAATATCATTCATTCATTCAGAAGGGCCGATGGTTTAGAGCGTGGGTCCAGACTGCCTAGGTTCAAGACCCAGCTTTTTTGCTCCGCAGAGGTGACAGCCCGTTTAATCTCACTGCACCTGTTTTTCCCATCTATCAAGTGGGGGAAATCACAGTGCCTTCCTGAGAGTCACTGTGCAGATGAGAAGAGATCAGGTCATAAATGTAAGGCTCTCCTAACCCAGGCTAAGTCCTTTGTTAGCCCTTGATGGGAAGTGAGTGGGGGAGATTCTAGGGACTCTGGTATTTTTTTTTACATACCTATCAATAATCACTTTATTTTTTTAACTTAGAAAAAACTTTATTTTATATTGGAGTATAGCCGATTAACATTAATGGTGTGATAGTTTCAGGTGGACAGCAAAGTGATTCAGCCAATCATACACAAGGATGCATTCTCCCCTAGACTCCCCTCCCATCCAGGCTGACCAGCATTCCCTGTGCTCTGACCTGGTTGATTATCCATTCTAAATAAAGTCATGTGTACATGTCCATCCCAAACTCCTTAACTATTGGTTCTGGGGATTCTACGAGCTCTGGTATTCTAATACCTGGGGGATGTATAACAAGATCTGCATAATGCTAGCTAAAATCTTACAATGTTTAGTTCAATTTCATTTTTTTTTGCAGTGTTCTATAATATCACAATTTGAAATTTCTAAAATATTTATTTGTATCTTACCCCCTCCAAAAGCCAAACTTTTGTTTATTAATGGCGTCTAATTTTGCTGATTTTTGTTTGTCTGTTTTATCTTTTTCTTCCTAGTTTTGCTCATTTAAAAAAAAATAATCATTTGGTCACTTGTTTCATTCATGCATTTAAATAAATCCTATCTCATCCTGACAAAAAGCCTGCTTAGGGAAGTCCTACGAGGTAAACATGAGCTCTTAGCGCTTCGTACTTTGGTCCCCTCCTCTCTGGCCCGGGTGTGGTGAGGAGCAAGGGGAGGTTGGGGAGACCGCAGGAGGGAAGTGGAGAGGTAGCAGCTGACGGCTCAGGCTGCTGGGTCGTGCCTGGCGTCTGCAGGACAGGGCAGTCTGGCCGGGGGGTTATGCAAGAGTGGAAAGACTTCTGAGAAGAAAGGAAGTCAGTGGTCGGCTGCGACCCGGACTGGCGCCCAGGAGGGGGTACCGCTTGCAGCCAGCCCCACCTGCCACTTCCTCTGCCCTTCCCAGGTGAGCAGCACTGGGCGTCTGCCCTCGGTGTGGGACCGCAAGGCAGCACCCCGTGAGACGGGGAAGGCCAGAGACAAGCTGAGCATCCCTCAGGGCGGGGGCGTTTAGTGAATGATTAAAGCACCATCTCTCAGCTGCCAGCCAAGAGCCGTGTGCTGTGGGCTTAAGGGAGGACCGCCATCCATCATGGGACCCCACTCGGTCTATTCTTGCTTCCAACTTTCTGTTGTGGTAAAAGGGACCCACAGAGAAGGGCTGTGCATGAAACTCAACGTGCCTAGGGCTGGGCTAATTTTAGGAAGTGAGCGCACTTGTGGAACTGGCGTCCTTATCAACAGAGCGAATCGCTTGCCGCCTCCGGGCCCCCTCCGCTCACTGCTGGCCCCCGCCCCTGGCCCCAGAGGTCACCCTGGCTTCCAACCCCACTGACTGGCCTGGGAAGAGTTTCAGCTTGGGGTCAGTGGCATCCTGCAGGAGGGGCATTTTGTCCGCTTCTCTATCCCCACATTGTACCTGGAAGGTTCCCCCGTGTTGTGCAGGGCAGTTCTTTCCCATCGCTGAGCCGTGCATCCTTCTCTGCAGGCAGATCCCAGCTGTGTAAGTGGAAGTGACCAAGGACTGGCAAGGCTGGTCACACCCAGGGTTGGTGATATCGGGGTAACTGAGGAGCAGCATTGTCTAGAGGGGACCTGCTGAGCAACTCTTCCAGAACAGAGGAAAGAAATAAGACTCCGAGCTTCCGAGATAACACCCCCTGCCAAAGGTCAAGCCTTGCCCCTGGTGGTCCCGGGGGACCCGTGGCTCTCAGAGTGCTCCCAGCGCTGATGGCCTTGGCCACCATCTCTCCCTCTTGGAATCTGAGTGTCTGGGCCACAAAGTGACCCTGCCCACCTGAGCTTGCCGTCAAATTTCCTGGGTCTAAGACCACTTGCTCTGTGACCTTGAACCAGCCCTGTAACCTCTGAGCTCCCGGAGTCCCACATCTCCCTGGCCAAGCGCCCCAGGCTTTGGCATCACCGACTCAATGGACATGGGTTTGAGCAAATCCTGAGAGTCGATGAAGGCAGGGAAGCCTGGTGTGCTGCAGTCCATGGGGTCGTAAAGAGTCAGACACGACTGAGCAACTGAACAACAACCCATCCTCTCCCAGCAAGCTGCTCCTCCCTCACCCCTGCATCCCAAATCCCCTTCTCCCCATTATTGGCAGAGATGGGGGTCCACTTTCACTCAGGAGGAAATCAAGCTGGCTCTGAGGGGCCATTCTTTGATCAGGATTTGAACTTGGGTCTTAGTCTGCCCGCCCACTACTGTTTTCAGTCACACTCACCCAGGGTGTGCACCGGAGGCTTGTACACACTCCCTTGGAGGATTCATCACTCCATGAGCAATGCAGTTACTATCCGAATACTTGCAGAGTGTCCACTGCCTGCCAGGCACCAGCTCTGGGGCATTGGGGCCAGAGCCCTTGTTAAAACAGGCCAGACCCTTCTCTCACGGGGCTCACAATCTGGCCTGGAAAGACATTGTAAAAATAAAATAAAACAGTGGTCAGTGCTCTGAGAAGAAAAAAAAAAGAAAAGAGGAGTAGGGGCTTGTGAAGTGTTGCTATTTTATGTGAGGTTATCAAGGAAGGCCTCTCGGAGGAGGTGTCCTTTCTCAGAGGAGAAACCTGCAGACAATGAGGGTGGGAGTTTCAGGCCTGCCTGAGATGGGCCAGGTGGAACAGGGCGTGCAAAGGCCCTGAGGTGCATGTAGTGGGGGAGTTCCCGTAACAGAGAAGCCACGGCCGCTGGCGCAGGGAGCCAGGAGGAGAGAGGGGGGAGTCGGGCACCCCACTGGGGTCCTAGAGGCCACGGGGAGGACAGGGGCCAGAGTGTCCTTGCACACCTGCGTGCGTGTGGCCGCCCACGTCTCGCCACGGGAGCCCCAGGAATCCCAGAAAACGAAAGAAGAAGCGGAGCCCTCTCTGCACGCTCCCTGCCCCCTCTTGCTACCCACCCCCCCCCCCCCCGCCCTCCGCAACAGAGGCGACTTCCTCTTTCCAGCCAATTTAAGTCCCAGCCCCTGAGCACCCCGGAGGAGAGGGTGCCGCGCGCAGCCGAGCCATGGGAGACCACTTCATCCGCCACATTGCCCTCCTGGGCTTCGAGAAGCGCTTCGTTCCCAGCCAGCACTACGTGAGTACCGGCCGGGAGCGCCCCGCGCGGGGACAGGCCTGGGGGTGGGTGGGGGGCGCACGTGAGGGTCCCCGCACAGCCCCGGCTCTCCCGGCCCGAGGGGAGAGGGTGCAGGGTTGTGGCCGAGGCTCCGGGCCCCCGGGGCTCAGTCCGCCCATCCAGGGCCGCAGTCCATATGAGCCCTTCAGGTGATGCGCGCCGCGCCCGCCAACCCCAACTCCCTGCTCTCCACGCCAGCACGTGTCTCCACCGGCCCCTCGGGAGGGGTTCCCGGGAGGGCGCGGTGGTGGTGATCAGTTACATCAGAGTCACGGCCCCTCCTGTAGGGTGACACCACTGCCGGGACTCGAAGAGTGCCCCCTCCTGCCCCGGGGGAGCTGGGGAAGTGTTGGCTCAGACCGGCCACCCCATCCATCATAGGGTCTCCAAACCCAGAGGAAGACCAGGGAGGGATCCACCTTGTAAATTGGCGCGTGGGCTGCATTCAGAGTATATGCAGAGCCCTTTCGTCTTTTTTTAACTCTTAATTTTGACATAATTTCAAATTTACAGAAATGTTGCCCCCGCAAAATGCCAATTACTCCAGCATTCCTTCACCCACATTTTCTCTCTGTGTGTCTCTCCCTCCCTTTCTCTCTCTCTGAATGTGTATTTCTGAATCGTTTGACAGTTATTTGGAGACATTGTGCTTCTTTACTCCTAAATATTACAAGTGTGTATTTCTTAAAACCAAGAACATTCTCTTACATAACCAAAGGTGTCTAACTGAGGAAATTAACCTTGATAAAACATTGCCATCCATCCCACAGACTGTATTAGGATTTCAGCAATTGTCCTCGTCCCTCGGCAGGGACTTTTTTCAGGCCCAGGATCCAATCCAGGTTATCCTATGTATCTGAGTTGCCTCATCTCTTTGGTGTTCTCTGACCCGGATCAGTCTTAACTAGTCTTTGTCCTTTTCAATTTTGACTTTTTGAAGACATGGGACCAATTATTTTGCAGAACGCCCCTCAATTTCAGTGTTTCTGATACTTCTTAGGGACTTTCCAATGGCTCAGCGAGTAAAGAATCCTCCTGCAATGCGGGAGACACAGGTTTGATACTTCCTTAGATCCCAATGACTTCCCTGATAGCTCAGATGGTAAAGAATCCTCCTGCAATGCAAGAGACCCTGGTTTGATTCCTGGGTTGGGAAGATCTGCTGGAGAAGGGAAAGGCTGCCTACTCCAGTCTTCTAGGGCTTCCCTTGTGGCTCAGCTGGTAAAGAATCCGCCTGCCATGTGGGAGACCTGGATTCGATCCCTGGCTTGGAAAGATCCCCTGGAGAAGGGAAAGGCTGCCTACTCCAGTATTCTGTCCTGGAGAAGTCCATGGACCGTTTAGACCCTGGGGCTGTGAAGAGTCGGACACGACTGAGTGACTTTTCACTTGTCACTTTAGATCCCAGTTATTCAAGGACACCCCGGAGGTGACTCTGTTCTTCTCTTTGATCCCATCAGGTGGCAGTTGATTTTTAGTTATTCCTGTATTAGTGATGTTTGATCACTAAATCCTAAGTGTGTCCTCCAAGTTTCTCTGCTGTGGAGTTACTGTTTCCCCCTTTGTAATTCATAACTGGGCTTCCCTGGTGGCTCAGTGGTGAAGAATCCACCTGCCAATGCGGGAGATGTGGGTTTCATCCCTGGGTCTGGAGGAGATCCCCTGGAGAAGGAAATGGCAACCCACCCCGGTTTTCTTGCCTGGAGAATCCCACGGACAGAGGAGCCTGGCGGGCTGTGGTCATTGGGGTCGCAGAAGAGTTGAACGAGACTTGGTGACTACAACAGGCAACAAAATTAATAACGACCCCACGGGGGAGGTTATGGAAAGCTGTGTGAGTGTCCTGGGCCTTACAGACACTGGGTGACTCTTGCTTGAATCAAATGACTATCATGATTGCCAAATAATGATTTTTAGACTCTACTGGTCCTTCTGCATGCATTAGTTAACATTTTCCTGTAAGTGTCTTCCCTTCTTCCTTATCTCTGTCTGTATGGATCCGTTGATTCAGTGGGTCAGAGTCCATTACTATCAGTACTTATTTTGATGCTCAGAATGTTCCAGATTTGGTGACTGGGAGGTCCTTCAGGTTGGCCTCTGTGCTTTTTTTTGGATATATCATGTCATTCTTTGAGCACATTATTATTATTATTTTGGAGAGGGCACCAGAATTCATTCTTATGGCACAAGATGGTCCAGCTTAACCTGGACTCTCTCAGCCCTAGGCCTGGACTGAACTATTTCACTAAAGAACCCGGAGTGATATTAGGACCCAAAATCTGGAAGCTAGGTGTGCTCATTGCCACCACGGTGTCAGGCTCGTGACTGCCTTTTCAGTGGACAGATGGGGAAATAGCCGTGTCGTATCCTTCTTGCCTCTCACCGTTTTGTATCTGTAGCTCCTTTCTCTCACTGTGGGAGCAGTGGGTCCCGAGGGGATTGGTGTTTCACTCCTCTGCTCAGTTCTAAAGTAAACATAAGTTTGTTTCAGAGTGACTACACCCACACCATTATCAACAATAAACCTACTAACGTATTAAGTCAAATTTAAATTTTCTTTGCAGTTCTTTTTTTTTTTCTTTTTGCAGTTCTTTTTGTCCTTTAGGACTGAGAATAGTGACAGCACTGTAACTAAAAGCTACTTGGAGTCTCTTCCATTAAAAAAAAAATTTAGATTATTACCCATTTTATATACTGTTAAGTTCATTTGGTTTTCTTTGCTTTCCACTTTAAAGTTAAAAAATCCTTGTTGGTTTAATTTTATTAAATATGTAAAATATTAGCAAGTTCACCCATTTAAAGTGCACTGTGGTTTTGGGTATATCATGAGTTGTTCAGCTATCCCAACTATCTAATTTTTATAGTATTTTAACCTTCACCAGTGGTACCTAT